AGCTATTATCTATCCTACACTAAGAATCTGAGAATGATTAGGGGAATGACTACCTGTGCTTGCAATTAGTTCTAGGGGTAATGATACCATTTATGACAATATTAATTTTATTGATTGTACTGTAAAATGATACATTTACTCCTACTATCACTGACAAAATAATGTCTTTTTGTCAAAGTTTATAGAGGATGAAGGAGTTCTGAACATGCCACCCCCCAAAATATGCCACTTTGGCATCTTATTTTGAGCTGCAGACACTTAAGAAACAGCAGATGCAGGAAGCTCTCTCTAACCTCCCCCTTTCTACATAAAAGAACGTCGTACAATTTCCTGTGATAAACATACCCTCCCCACTGTACCAGGAAGAGAACATTCTTATCATCAGAAACTGGGAGTCAATGCTGGAGTAGACCTTACTAAGACAACCCTTATCTTTCATCAGATTTCACCTCATACATTTCTGAGTCACTATCCCACAATTTACTGCCCCAAGCTGAAACCCATTTGTTTTGTCACATACCCACGATTTATCTTTCTTTGTGTAAAAATGTATTTAAGCTTTGGGTCTAACAGCTTCTTCGAGTCTGAAGATTCCTGAGTACACATAAAAATAATTTTGTACACTTTTCTCTTATTAGTCTATGTCAATTTAATTCTTAAGTTACCCACAGAAAACAAAGAGGGTANCTGTAGCAGTGCACCACCGGGCCGGCCCTTAAGTAGCATTTTAATGACATTTCTTTTTGATTGTTTTGTTTGGCTGTGGGAAAACATGGTATTTTGTGGTGTGTAGGTGGCCTTTAAAAAAAAAAAAAGCTATGCAGAGAAAAGAAATAAAGAAAGGTGAGGAATAAAATTGAAGTTGCTATTTAAAGGTAATGCGGATGAGAGATAAACCACATAGCCCAATTGCTTTCTCTTTCTCATCTCCTATATATGCTATTTGAAAGAATAAAAAAAACTGTTTTCTTCTAGCAAGATCCATTCCTCCAGGTAAGAGCCAGAAAAAGAAAAAAACTGGTTCCACACTATAATTACTTAGCATTCTTTGTGCTTGAACAAGGTGAAAAACATCAGTAAGTGTGCACAGACACAAGTAAAAACATTTTTA